GATTGATTTCAGGTGATTATAGTAATGGCATCAGCTGTTTGTTGTTCAAACACACTCCTAATCTCTGCAATATGCCATCAATAGATTTCTGATATTGAGTCGTTTTTAACATTTTAGAGTGCAATATATGATTAGAAGGCTCTTTTTCAGGGAACTGTGCAATTTGTGTGCTTGTCTCTGACTTACTCAAAGTCCCCCTGTAGTCAATAATTTTTCCCTCTTAAAACTCATCTTTGATCACCAAAATTACATATTTAAATGTTTTTTTGCTTGAAAAAAAATTATTCATGCCTTAAAATAGCTTAAATGTAACTCGACACCCTTGCCTCATTTAGTATAGGCGGTTCTATGAATATGCAAATGAGCCCCGCCTCCACTCACTCACTCAGCTCAGAGATCCACTGGTTGACGATCACACGTTGATCTGATTGGTTACAAAGTAGTGTGTAACGTCAGAAACACCAGCGATTTCAAACCGTGTTTTTGAGACTGTCTTTGGTTCACTGCAGTTTTAAGGAGGAAAAACTCAGCAACGATTTACACATGGTTTGTCTTAAAGCACATTAAAAACACCACATAGACATATAAACAACATTAAAAGCTTGATTTTCACCACCACAGGGGGACTTTAAAAATGAAAGTCAAATTGTTTTTATTTATCTGTCATGTTCATGCATTTACCCAAAAAATTAAGCATTTTAGGGGGGGAAAAACACATTTCTAAACTTTCCCACACAAATGTCACAGGTCTCTGATAAGCATCCAGAAACAAATGCATAATAAAAAGTGAGTAATCCTTAAAAAGTAATAATAATAATAACAACAGCAACATTGCAAAACATGGCATTTGCTCAGCATCTTCTTCAGCAGAGTGATTTGTTAATACGTCATTCACAGTTTGACGGCGCTGACTCGTGTCTAAAACAGCTCCAACACTTCTAGAATCAAACAAGTCTTTGGGTTTAATAAAAGAAACGGGTATTGGTTGTAAAGCTTTCTGGCTGACATTAACACGCTTAAAATATGCCTGCTGAAATATGAGTGTCATCAACGTTTACATCAGAGGCACATTTAGCATTAACAAAGCAATGCACATTCTTTATAGCTTTAATGAACAGCTAAATATACATGCCGACACGCGGAAAACAAACAACAAACACGGCCGCCGTCACACAAGGAGGATCTCTGTAACTCAGGCCTTAAAGCCATTTTTACATCAAACGCCAATAGAATTGACTGCTTGAGAAGTGCTATGATAATGTTGGCTTGAAACTGGCAGTAACTTTACAATATCATTATTACATTGTGAAATTATGTCATATGAATAATTATAAGCATTTAACAATGAAGCACATCTGAGGGGGAAGAAGCTGAACAACAAAGAAAGCAAACAACAGAAATCCCCAGCTTGTGTCTCAACCTCACGTTTTCCAGTGTGTGTCTCGATAGTTTGATCGGGGACAAGAAAAGGCACTTTGCTGCATTTGGCAGAGAGGTGAGGACAGTTTAAACATGTCAATACGCATCAGGAAACGCCATCTTGAACACCACACCCTACTTCAGTACTTCAAAATATCCCAGATTCCCAAACCTCTCGGACATGTGAACGCTCGAAGCGTCCAGAAGCGAGCTTTCACATCTCGTTCTACCTGTCACAGCGAGTCCCCAGATGAGGGAAGGGAAGTTTCTGCCCAGTGTGTCAAGGGTCAACAGCTGACTTACATCCATTCTCTTGATACGTCCAACTATTATGGTGTAGAGTTGCTGACCCCCGGAAGAAGAGGTGTAAAAAACAACACTGTTTGCCTCGCAGATGTTCAGTTTTCAACAAAGAACTCGACCTAACTGCGTGAAAAAATCGTGCTCAGCAAAGCTAGCGTTTGTTTGGCAGGTGTGCGATTATCAACAGAGAGGAGCATTTACTGTGTTTTACACACACCTCTCTCTGAAGTGAAAACCAATGTTTTTTTACTATCATTGATATAATGTGCCTGGGCCGTGTTTACTCCTGGTGTTAAGATGTGTTTTGGCCGATCGGATCACAGACGAGGGAGACACATTCCCGTTCACACCTGGTGTCTTTTGTCCACTTTCAGCCACTTCTGTCCTGATTTCATCGAGGCGAGGGTCTATGGGCGGGTAATGTGTGTGTTTTCAGATCTTTCGATCTAAAGGACGAAATAAGCTCACGCTATTAACATATGAATGCGACCGGAGAGACGGAAAAACACAGAGAGCATCAGCTTTAGTTTCTGCTCTGACAGATGCAAGATCAGCCGAACGCTGTGAGCGTGTGTTATGGTGTGTTCACACCGAACGCGAATAGAGCGTCAAATACGCGTCTATCGCATCTAGTTAGACGCTTGAACATTCGCTCGAGTTCAAATTTTTCAACTTGCGCGGGAGACATTCGCGGCAAACGCGTCGCCCAATAGGGCTAGGGCGTCGTGACGTCATTACTTGGCGTGGCCGCCATGTTGACAGCTTCCCGAATGTAAACATACAGCAAGTCGAACGAGGAGAAGCCGGGATACGTTACCGGGATACGTTATATAGGGAAACCAGGGACCGTTATGTGGACAAAATCGGCGCTTTTAACGGTTTGGATCCATATGAAATTTCCAACAGAGTCGGCAAACAGTGGGAACACAGTAATCCGGACAAAGGTAACTTTAAGATGCGCTCCACCTAGCTGCTAGTTTAGTAACAGTTAGTGCTAACAGCCATTCACACATGTACTTTTAACTATGTGTTTCAAAACTGTAGTTAGTAACGTTAGCTGTCAACCCTCCCGTTTTTTACGGGTTTCTCACGTATTTGTTAACCACATTAGCCCTTCCATCGGACCTGTCAGTCTCTGTACTGTTGTCCTGTTGCTACCCCCTTGTCCTAAGCATCGTTTTGCTTTCTAAATTAAGTTTTGCTTAAAACAGCTACTAACTACACTTTTGAAACACGTAGTAAAAAGTACGTTACATGTGTGAATGGTTGTTAGCACTAACTGTTACTAAACTAGCAGCTAGGTGGAGCGCAGTTTACCTTTGTCCGGATTAAGTTACTGTGCTCCCACTGTTTGTTGGATATTTCATATGGATCCAAACCGTTAAAAGTGCCGATTTTGTCCACATACCGGTCCCTGGCTTCCCTATTTAACGTATCCCGGTAAATTCCACATCCTTTTAGGGATTTTAACATCTTTTTTCTTTTCTTTCTCCCAACTCTGCTGCTTCTCCTAGTTCGACTTGCTGTATGTTTACATTCGCGAAGCTGTCAACATGGCCGCCATGTCCCAGAATGCAACGCGGCGCCCAAGCCCTATTCGCGTCATTCGCAACGCCCGGCGCGAATGATGCGTCTATTCGCGTCTTTGCATTGACTTTGTATATAATCCACTCGCTCAAATAATTAAATTCGCGTTCGGTGTGAACACACCATTAGAGATCAGGAATATAGAGAGAACATTGTGCTTGATACATTTTCATCTTCAAACCAAACTTGAGTCTCCAGCCGATAGTTTAAACCCCGTCTGGCTGGAGCTCTTCATAATGTTATGCATTACGGTGTGTTCACACCGAACGCGAATAGAGCGTCAAATACGCGTCTATCGCGTTTAGTTAGACGCTTGAACATTCGCTCGAGTTCAAATTTTTCAACTTGCGCGGAAGACATTCGCGGCAAACGCGTCGCCCAATTCGCGTCATTCGCAACGCCCGGAGCGAATGATGCGTCTATTCGCGTCTTTGCATTGACTTTGTATGTAATCTACTCGCGCAAATAATTAAATTCGCGTTCGGTGTGAACACACCATTAGATCAGCAGACGGAGAGAAGACGGTCTTTTGTGGCTGTTTGAACACACTCGACCACATGAGCGTTTACACTACGAAAGCAATCCGGATGAATGTGTTTTCAACTTCCTCTGGAAAAGGTCTAAAGTGGACGAGCTCAAAACCCGTTTACAGTGTCGTCCACTTGTGATCCAATCGACCAAAACGCATTTTAAAACCAGCTGTAAACACGGCCTAAGATTCATTTTGGTCTGTTTCAACGGGAATGTTTATCATTAACTGGCTGCCACCATGTTTGTGTGACCTCATACATTTAGCAAAATCTGAGAGTTTTAGATATCAGTACGAGTTTCCAAGTATTAAGTCAAACTTCTTGGAGATCGGTTGTCCTTTTCCAAGTCAAATGGAAGGCAGTATATCAGTCTGTGTTTGTGAAGGACGCTGGGATTTTCGCAATCAGCTCTGGCAGGTAAATGTAATACTTTTCCTGTGTGTGTACGTTTTTATTTTCCTCTTCACATCAATCATTAATTTGATCGTAAAGGAGAAAGAGTACAAGGTGATTGCGTGTTTGATGCTGAAAATTGATTGAAATTGTTTGTTTTCGAGTGTGTGTGTGAAGCAACATTCATCATCTCTAAATCCCCTTCGCTTGCGTCTGAAGTCTCGTCTCTCTTCTAAATCTTCTGTTTTCTCATCCTTTTTATAAATTTGTGTTTAAGAGTGGGGCCCAAAAGTCTGAGACCATGGTGAAAATCTGGGATTCCACATGGGATTTAAACCAGAAAACAAACAGAACGTGTTTGGGTTTTGAAAAATGTTAAACAAAAAAACGCTATGGCGTACAATAAGAAAATATAAATTTAGACTCTGCGCCATTTATTACTAAGTCACTAATCAAATAAGCAAATTTTGAAAAAAAACATTTCCTCTGAATTGCTTCCTCTTACAGTAAAGCATGCATTGCTATGCTATATATTTGTGTTTAAAGGATTTGAAGATTTTCACTAGTGGTCTCAGACTCAATTTGTGGTTTGTCATTTTACAGAGATTGGACTCATTTCTAACTGTTGAAATACTGTTGAAAAGCTGATAAAATCAAAATTGAAATTTCAATGATTTTTCTAGGCCATTCCCAGGTTTCCCATGGCCGTGAGGACACCCTCCACCCAAAACAAAGTATCCTGGCATTGTTCCCGGGGTCACAGGTCCC